CAGTGAAACTGAAACTCACACGAGTTAAATGCCGCCACACCGTTAAATAAACACAAACTTAGACAAAAGTGAATGAATGCGACTTTGGGAAATTCTTAATAAATGGGATAATTGTAAGAAGTTGTGTATAAACAAAAATACGACAAAGGGCTGCCACATAATCACGGAAATGAACATCGCGATTTGCCAACTGCATGAAAAGCGCCAGGAAGTGCAGACCAGACTCCGACCCACTTTCGTAGATCAGACGAAATCCCTCGACAGAGTGAATCGTGATGAACTCTGGAGAATCAGCCTCAAATCCGGAGGTCATGAGGGATTTACCCAAAGGATAAAGCAACTGAAAGGCCGGCTGATGGTTCGCGTCGCGGGCAACAGGGCAGTCGTTAAAGCATTTGCAGTGACAAACGGGGTGAAGCAGGGCTGTGCACTCGCTCACACCTTCTTCGGCCCTACGTTCGTCGGCATCTTGATAGACGCCTACCTTAAGGGGCAGCCTGGAATCTGTATGGCCTACCAAACTGATAGACAACTGTTAAACATTCGGCATACGAGGGCAGCTACAAGAGTTTCAAAGGCCACTGTCTAAGATCGCTTATTTCGGATGACTGTGCGCTGAATGGCACAACCGGGACGGACATGTAGCGGAGCGTGGACCTTTTATTAACACCGACTGTTCAAACTTTGCACTGATCATTGGCATTGAGAAGTCAGTGGTCATCTACCAACCGTAACCAAATTATAACTACAACTGACCCATGGAAAGTCTAGACACAATTCGCCTCAACGGGGAAGAAATGCATGCATCTCAAGAGCGTCATTTCAAAAACCTCAATATCCACAACAAAACCACAAGTCGGATCTCCAAAGCCTGTCAGAAATTCGGGCACCGCAGCATTCGCCCCAATAGAAACTGAGGATGTACAGCGCTGCTGTTCTGACAATGTTCCTGTGCTGGTCGAAGATGTAGATGGTGTACGAAAGTCAGGCAGAGGGATTAATTGCTTTAACCCTTACTGCTTCTGGATAATATTGAAGGTGACGTGACAGGAGAGAATATCAGACCTCGAGGTCTTGGAATGAACGGGTGTGCTCAGTATTCAAATTATACTGAAGCAGATGCAGCCGTGATAAAGCGAACACGTCTTGAGGATGGACGATGAACGTCTGTCCAAGAGATTATTATATGACTACGTGGCCACTGGCGCTCACAGACAAGGTGGACAAAAACGCTGTTACAAGGACATCCTGAAGACCTCCCTCAAGCACATTCAAATCAACCCAGGGACCTAGGGAGGTCCCCACAGAGACTGCAAGCGTGGCGTACCGCAGTGAAATCTGGAGTATTCATTTTGAGGTCAAGTGAATAGCCGCTGCTAAGGCCAAAATAACGGCTCGCAAGGCTCAAGTGCCCAGGACCAGCGATACCAGTATCTAGGCATTGCTCTCTTGTCGAATTTGTCAGGGAACATTCAGGACGCGGATAGGCCTCGGCGGACCTAACCAGACTTCGTGATGTGTCCATAAAACCAACCCGCCTCTCACTCCACAAGACATCACTACGATCACCACCACCAGCACGACAAATACCAGCATCAGAACTGAGGACACTCTCCTCGCCAGGGCACACTAACAGTCACCACAGCATCACACACAATCCATGCCGCTACCGTGCGCAGAAATTCGTCAATGCTGTTAGGACGAGAGAAACTTCCTATGAGGGTTAGTGTCACGGCTGAAGGTAAGACACGGGAATAGGTACTCCCCTGGAATTTAGTGCAAGGCCGCCTGTCCGTCTTAGAGGTGGGGGTCAGGCTGCAATGGCGTCTTCTTCATGCAACCCTGTGGCGCTCTCATGCATATGAGCGGCCCCTCAACATGTTTGAGGGGCCAGCTCGCGCGTGGCACGCGTAGAGAGGCGGCTCAATCTTGTCGGCCACTGCGCCCGAGCGCCGTCGTCCTCTGCCCACTCCGTGTGATACACGGTGGGCGTTGCCCTCCGAGACGGTTGCACTCTCACAGGTGAAGTATAGACCAGGCCGCGTGTGCACACGCATAAGAATTGTTTAGCTTTGCCAGGCGTTGTGCCCCCACGCCTCCAGTTATTTTGACTTTGTTCTCCCATCGAAACACGACGAGTGTGGAAGGCGAATACGAGATAGATCTACCGCGAGTCAGCTTCACCATAAACAAATTCCTTCATAAGTTGCTACTGGATCCATGTTAAAACATACAAGTCGTACTAGGCCAAACTCAACTGCTGCGTCAGTATGTCTCCCGATTTCACCAACACCCGCCGAGAGGGCAGGCAGGGAGAGGGGAAGGTGCCCTTTTTTACTACCTGCTCATGTTTTGGCGCAATGAAAGCGTTATCTAATGGGAACTTAGGCCAAACCAAATAAGAACGAAATTGTGAAATCCAATGAGAAGTGGATGACTATCAATGATTTTGTAGAAAACAGTGATATAACAAATTAGTCACTATTAGCCTGACCTTATCCCCCACTGATTCCATAGTAAGTGGACTGTTTATTTTCTTGAATGGGAGCTCTCATTATGAATATCAACCGTGGGCAGTTAGTTAGTGGAAAATAAGTTTGTGCTTCAAGTTTATCTAAAGCTCTAACGGGACCCAAAGTGCCAATTCTTACATCGCTAACATTTGCGATTGCAAGGTGCCCTCTTGACTGAATTACACAGTACTCAAATGAAAGTTTAAAAGTCTGTGTTGAACGTAAACGCTGTGTTCCCGATGGCATTTCATCCTATCTGCAAAGCCATTTCCAAAATGCATACTAGCAAACTATTTATTAGCTTCACTCCACCTTCCTAGTTCCGGTAAGATTCAAAAAACTTCTGCTGGCTGTAAGATTTCTTCACAATATTCGAAGGAAGTTGACCCGCATGCGTGGTTGTTTAGTACCCGTATACCAATGGCTGATTTTCACTCTAGGGGACGAGGTGAACCAGTGTGTTTTTCCATCTCGCAACTAATTTTCACATTTTTTTGACGTTGAGCCGGTCACGTACAAAAACGCGGAATCTTGAATAGCTTTCAGTAAAATACGTATGCTAGTAAGTGCATTTTCATAAATTCTAAATGTCGTCAACAAATGCAACAGGTAGTCATAAGCAGATGAAAAAATCGAACGATGCTTTTCCCACTGCAAGTCATGTTTCATGCGCACAGATTTGCGAAACAAATTTCCGCCACGAATCACCTCCCCCGTGATCTGTCAGGTAGTGTGACTGACCCCACCGGACGCTCTACCGCAAGAATAAAGGCACACGGTTTCACGGAACAGAATCCCACATTTTCGTCAGTTCTTAGGGGAAACGTTCCACGGTTGCAAATTCTTTCCAGGCCCAATAAAGCTGAAAAAGTTGCCAAACCCATCTGGAAGAATAAATGAGGAGGAAAAGACATAGTCAAGGTATGAAAGAGCGGTAGATGTTGCATCTCGCAAAATATCGTGAAATTTCAGAGGAAGGCCCTGTAGTGCAGAAGCTACTCACAGTACATCCTGCAAAGTGTCAAGGCACTAAAAAAACCACCGTCTTTGAGAAGAAGGCATTGTTAGGTTCATAGATTTTTATTTACTAGCCGACAAATATTTTCTGTTAAGAAGCAGAAATTTAGAACAAGAGTGTATTACGGATCCCTCAGCTAGGGCTAAATATAAAAGCTATGACAAGGATATGTGCAACAAGTGGAGATACCAATAAAAATAATAACAAAAACCTGTTTAAGAGCAATCGGAATGCAATTTTACTCCGTCAAAACGACGCAGATGCATGCACAATCACATACTTGAAATTCAACTAGACGAAAAGCGCATAATCACTCAAAGAAGTAGTTTCAGTAAGGTCGAATCACTAATGAAAAAAGTACCTTACTTACAGCAAAAAGTCTGAAAAGACCGCGAAGACATGCAAATATATTTTGAAAATGCTTTTAAATAAACGGAGAAATAACCATGCAGTGCACTTATTGAGGCAGGCAGGCAGGCAGGATATTTGTCAGCTCAAGGCAGACCCCCGAAGAATACTATGGTAGTACCCAGTCTCACCTATTTCAATGAAAATGCAGTTTTTTTTTAGTGAAAATGAATAAGGAGGTCGTTTCGTTTTATTAGCTACAATTTTGGTTTTGCGCGACCGTTGTGGAGGGTCTACCGAAGTAACTGTAGTGAAATGTTTGCATAAGTATAGCTTTGGTGCGCGCTTTCCGAACGAAATCCTTCCGGCTGCAATGGATTTAGCTCCTGCTACCACCCCTGCCCCTAATGACAATTCGACCGTCGATTCGACGATGTCCACAGTAAGGTGCAGCAGGAACAGTGACTTGTGCGTTGATTAGTTCATTTTGATAGTAGACTTTCGAAGCATCTACCTCCCTCTCTCCCCCTCCCCCACCTGGATCCGGTGTCAAGACAGAGCCATGAAGACCGAAGGCGGGGGAGGGCGCAGGTTGCTGGCACGGCCGGACCTGCACCCGGGCGTGCCGCCAAACCCTCTGTTCCACAAAAGACACTCGACCAGGATTTTTCACCAATAACAACAACAACACCCCAACAGGGGTCATAAGGATGAGGATGATGACTGGACAGCCATGCTCATCACCTGTATGTCCAGCAGAAGCGCAAGGGCATCTACCGACAGGGAACCAGGTGTCAGGGAACTGCCAGCGCATACCAGGTCGCGAGGCCCATTGTTTTGCACACGCTCTCAGACCTTTTGACCAAGAAGAACTATACCTGGCCCTGAATTTAGCCTGGGCCGTCGCCCTTCAAGGCTAGGTAACCGAACAGTCGTCGACTGTGAGGCACTACCCATAAAGCACGCACACAAACACAAACACTCTCCTCCTATGCATGAGAGTGTCACCGATCGTTTGAGAAGGGACCGTGACAGCCTGGCACTCAGTCCACCAGTCCGCCACTCCACACAACACATGCAACTGGGCAGATCGCGTGGACTGAGTACGCTGACCACAACGAATGAAAGAACTTCTTCGTCGTTATCAAGGCTGTCCACGTCCGCCAACTAAAGCAACTGCAGCTCTCTTCAGCGCCGACGGCAGCCCCCTACTAACAGAGAAGACACAAATTCTTCAGCGATGGGCCGAGCAGTTCCGAGGCGTCTTCAACCGTCCCTCCAACATCTCCGACACCGCCATCGCCCGTCTGCCGCAAGTGGAGACCAACGCCGACCTCGACCTCGCGCCATTTCTACACCATCTCGGAAGAAAGCATGCAAATGAGTTTAAACCTCTTCGCCACCGCCTGAGAGAACGTCGGCCTTATCATCAGCAGGGTGAAGGCGATGGCTATGCATCAACCCCCACCCGACCCTGCCCACGTAATAACCCAGAGCAGCGTGGAAGAGCCCATCTGCAAGCCGTGGGCAACTTCACCTATCTGGGCAGCACCCTCACCCACGCAACCAAGATCGACGATGAAGTGGCCCACCGGATTTCCAAGGTAAGTCAAGCCTTCGGCAAACTACAAAACACAGTTTGGAATACACACGGTCTCCATATCAGCACCAAACTGAAGATGTATAAGGCAGTCACTTTACCGACGCTGCCGTACGGAGCGGAGACTTGGACGGTGTGCAAGAGGCAGACGCGGAGTCTCAACCACTTCTAACTCAGCTTTCTCCGGCGGATATTGTAGCTGAGGTGGCGGGACCGAATCCCGGACACAGACGTACTGAAACGAACGGGAGTCCTCAGAATCTGCACCGTGCTGAGGCAACCACAACGGCTCTGGAGCAGCCGTCTCATGCGTTAACAACAAGCGTTTACCCAAACAGATCTTCTATGGGGATGTCGCTGGGGGTTCTCCCCGACAAGGGGGTCAAGTATGACACTACGAGGACCCTCTGAAGACTTCCTTGAGGCATCTGCAAATTGACCCGGCCAACTGGGAAAACCTCGCCCCGGACCGACCGAACTGGTGGAGGACGGTGAAGACAGGCGCAGCGATCTAAGGAACCAACCGCATCACCGCCGCCAAAGCCAAACGCGAGGCACGAAGGTCTCAACTGCGCCCACCTTGCTATGCCGACAGTCAACCGTCCCCGACCTGCCCACGATGCCAGCAGACGTTCCGGACATCAACCGGTATCAATGGACATCTTCGTACCAACGTACCCGGACGACACCACCCGATGTCCCCCGTCCACCACTGCCTTGCCCCACACGCCGACAAACAGCACTGACCGCACTCCTGATCCTCCACTACCATCCTGCTCCGTCGCCTCAATACCCGCTGCGACGGGTACTGCACACACCGCCACTGCACGCAATCTTAACACATCGAAAAACATTAACCTCACCACCAACAACACCAGCGATGTGGACTCGATCCATACCTGTCCTCACTGCGACCGCGCCTTTACCTCACACACCGGCCTGATCAGTCACCTGCAAATCCATCGCACAGAGACTGGCGAGCCAGTGCCTGGTACACCAACCTACACTCGCCGCATTCGCCCCCACTATCCACACACAATAGTGCGACCGTCGCGTCCGACGATGTCCGCCGTATGTTCACAGCAGGTGGGGCAGGACAATCAACTTGTCCGCCTTCGACACAGTCGCCAAGAGGGCGTGCAGGTCCTTGTAGAATTTGTCCTTTGCGGCGGCGTCGGGGTTGGTCATCGTCGGAGCGTAGGCGCTGATGATGGTGGCGAATTTGCTCCCAGAGAGGCAGACGGAGGCTCATCAGGCGATCGTTAATGCTCTGCGGCAAACAGGGCAGTCGTCTCGCGATGTCGTTTCGGATGACGAAGGCGACACCCGCGTCTCGTCGCTCTGCCCTAGGGCGACCGCTCCAGAAGAAGGTGTAGCCGGCACCCACCTCCTCCAGTTGGCCTTGTTCGGAGAATCGGGTCTCGCTGAGTGCGGCGATGTCCACCTTGTAGCGCGCCAGTTCTCGTGCCACTAGCGCCGTCCCCCGTTCCGGTCGGTTGCTCCTCGGATTGTCTAAAAGGGAACGAACATTCCAGGCTGCCAGAGTGAGCGGGCTCACCCTGTCAGTCTGGGGAAAACGAGTGGGGCGATGGGAAGGAGGTGGAGAAGAAGATGACGAAGGAGAAGAATAGGCAGAAGAATAGACGGAGGTAGAGGTAGAAGAGGTAGGATGAGGAGGTTAGCGAGTATTGTTGTAGTTGTTACTGTTATTGTTGTCGTTTCGATTTTGGTTGTTTGGATGTGACTTTAACGTCTGAGACCACGGTCAGCCTGCAGACGACTTGGTTCCCCAGAAATCGTTAGGCCAGCTTTTCCAGCCCCCCCTCTCCCGAAGGCGGGAAGTGTCCCTCCCTCTGAATAGGGCTGCCATTAATGTGCCGGTGCGGCCGAACTCCACTATGGGCCACGAATTTTCTGGTAGTGGAGAACGACTCGAACTTGCCAATGACTTACGACACCGCCGTAAGCCCCCGGTCTCGTCACGACGGTGCCGACGCGGTGTTCCATCCAACCAACCATCCAGCAGAGTCCGTAATACCCTGTGCACGCGGCACAACGCGCACCGGGAGTAACCGCCCTCATCTGGTTGCTTTAGCCCGTCTGTCGATGCGGTTGCCCGGGGTGTGGCCGCTGAGCATAGCCCCGCTATGCGGAGCCACGTGTGAGAGTTGGTTGTCAGCAAATGGACGCCAGGCGTAGTCTCACCTGCGAGCAAGTGAGCCACCACTACGACCACCGCGTGAACCCACCGCTGGACACCCCTACACCCCACTATCCACACAACCCACACACACTCACTCACAGCATGGTCCAGCTCGGTCAAATGCGTATCCAATAGAGCGGAATTGATCGCAGTCTCGACACACCTAGTACCTCTTGCACGTCCACCATGCCTAGCCCAACGCACACCCCGTCGCACAGCGTGTCCACCATCAACAGCTCCACCAATACCACCATCTCCGAAACCGACACTGACACCGCCGACTTCTCATGTCCAAACTGCCCCCGCACATTCGCCTCACACATCGGCCTGGTCGGTCACTTGCGAATCCGTCGAACAGAAGCTGGCGAACCAGTGCCAGGAGCCCTAGCATACACCAGACGCAATCGCCTCAACTGCCCTCTCTGTGCCCCCACATTCACCCACTGCACGGGCCTATTAGGTCGGCAGAAGGACTTCTTCATCATTCTAAGCAATACTACAGTACCCTGGCGTGGGAAGCTTGGAGTGCTTTGATAGACGCGAGGTAATTTTTTATCTCACCACGGTCACCAAACCCTTAAATTTCCGCACTTTTGCGCCTTCATCAGCCTGTGCTGCATTAGGCCACGCATCGGAACTATGCTGTTTACTGACGTCAGTCCAGTTATTGTAATGGGTCTGAGTAAACTGTTCATCCCCTAATAGCAGATGTCTGATTTCTTTGACACTATAAACAAACCAGTTCCGTTGCTGTTGATATAAGCGACCTACGACTTCCATGTAATGGTTTGAAAGGCACCTCACAATTTTCTTCATCGTATCTCAGCAAGATTATTTTCTTCTAGTCCGAGATTCATGGGGTTGCTGGGATTCAACGGGCGTTCACCTGTATCCAATAATTCAACGTCTAACACAACTGATTTTACCTTAAATTCCAGACTTATGCGGGGTTACAGTTGCAGCATCATCTTCGAGGCGATCAGGCGGTGGTCCATCAGTCTAAAAAAGATACCGCCCTCATCACTAGTACGCCGCACTAGCCACGTCCCCTGACGAGGGCGTAGCATAGCAGCCGTCAATGACGTGTGTGAGGATGCTTCCACGGCCACTGCTGTTGCAGCTACCGATGCCGTGACAGCCCAACGCCCCAGACCAGGTAGCATAATCCGTATCGACGCGGCATTGAAGTTACTAAAGCCCGTCAGACTGTACACCCTCGGTACAGCTGCGAGGAGGGCGTGCAGATTGTCGTACAGTTTATCCTTTATCGTGTCGCGATTTGCTTTTGGGTGGGGACGTAGCCGGTGATAACGGGGGCGGTTTTGTTACCACGGCAAGACAGCCTCATGTTTATAAGACAGCCGATGATGTCTGCAGCAGGCTGGGAAACCGTCTCACGACGTAACTATTGACGGCAAACGGGCTTCAGCGTTTCATCGTTCCGCCTTTGGATGTCCACCCCCCAGAAGAAGGTGAGTCCGGCACCCACTTCCTCCAGTTGTCCCTGTTCGGAGAATCGCGTCTAACTCAGAGCCGCGATGCCCACATTGTAATGTGCCAGTTCTCGGGCGACCAGAGCTGTCCTCCTTCCTGGTCGGTTACTCAGCAGACTATCCTACAGAGAGAGCGGACATTTTAGACCGTCAGGACAAGCCGTGTCACTCTGGCAGTATGTGGGGTTTTGCCAAATACTCCTTTTGGTCGCGTGTTTTACGTCCAGGTGTCATGGCCAGCTCGCAGATGGTTTGGTTATGCAGCATTTGTATGTCTGCTCAGTCATTCCGGACGCCCGCCGAATTCTACTGTCACGACATTTGTTTATTGGAAAGACTAGGAGAATTAGCCTGGACAGCATACGAGAGTGCATGTCGCTCACCCCGTAGGACATTTTGTTTTTTTGTCTGGGTGGGGGAGGGCGGAAGAAAAGACTACCGTGTGTGGAGGCCTGAGTAGTGCGCATGTACATGTGCACGTACTCACTTCATGAGTCGTAGACTTTGGATCTATGCGTCGTGTTCTCAACGAAGTAGTTCACTCAAGTAAGCTTTTTCCTCGGCTCTACATGATGGTTTTTATGAAATTGTTTACCCCTATGATCCTGCCTGCATTCCGGCTGAGGGGAGCTGTGTGACCAAAGGTTCTTTTTCCACCATACCAAGTTGTCTAGGCAGGATCCCTTGGAATAAACCATTAGATTCAAGCAGTGGTTGGCAGCGAGTCATTTATGCGGCACGTCTGCGCATAGTATGGTTAATTAAAATTAGACCGATGATACTTTCTTACCCTTTTCACATTTCTCCGTTTTGCCTTTAAAATCTAGCCTCATATGTTCCTGTAAAAACGTTGGCAACGATAGGTTGTAGGACCCCCAACTAACACGAGATAGACTGTGGACAGTGTCATACTTTGAATTGTGGTAGAGTAGGTTCTACATTTGGGAAAGCACATAGGACGGAGAGCAAGAGGGCACAGAAAATAGATAAGTTTCTGCCGAAACTCTTATCATACGCTGTCATTTGGCAAAGAAAGTGATCGCGACAATGAAAAACAAAGGAAAAGCAATTTTCAAAAAATAACGAACTTTGAATAAAGTGCCGCTGGTAAATTTACATTCAGTGAGGAAGGACGGGAAATTTCAAACAATGGGAACCGTGAATAATAAGCGGTGTTTGCAGTCACACTGAATTTCAGGGTATACTTTTGTAGGCAGTATCTTGTTACCGACAAAGGCAAGGGGGACTGGAATGGCCATTTCTGGCTTATTGGCCGTCGTCCACCAGTCATATCCAACCCCGAGGTGTGGGACACCTGGGGCTCGGTCCCGCGACCTGTTAGTTAGAAGTCCACGCCTCTAACCACTGGGCCACGAGCTCGTTGCCCTGTCGGTTTCGATCGGGAATATACAATGGTCGAGGGGGGGGCTCGACGATAGTTCTTACGTAACCCACTCCTTGCGTTGCGCCTTACGGGCTCTCTCTCGGGCCCAACCAGCAGCCGCACAGCGGCGCATGATATAGGCAGAATGCTACTACCGACAAAGATAAGGGAGACTGGAATGGCCATTTCTGGCTTATTAGCCGTCGTCAGCCAGTCATACCCAACCCCAAAGTGTGGAACACCCGAGGCTCGAACTCGTGTGCCGCTGTGCGGCTACTGGTTGAAGTTGAGAGAGAGCCCGTAAAGCACATTGGAACGAGTGAGTTCGGTAAGAACGATTGGTGAGCGCTCCCTACCATCATACTTTTGTAGTTACCATCTACTTGGTCTTCGAAAACAGTGTTCATATTCCATCACTCAGATACTTCCTTTGACATCCGTTATTAGCAATTTTGGAGACTGTGTTTGGATGATTTATTCGCTGAATACTTACTTATATGATTACAATAACATTGAGTTTTAGGGTATACTTTTAGTGTTGCCATCTACTTGGGGGTCCTAAACCCTACCGTTGCCAAAACGTTTTATATTGTTTCAAATTGCTCTAGAATGCTCGTTGTTGGGGCTTTCTGATGCTGGAACGTTCTGTTTGGAAGGTCCTGTAGTAGCTCTTTGTTATATTTTTTATTTATGCGCAGCTCCTTATGACTCTTTCATTTATTAATATTCTTGCAAACTCGCATTTATTAATGTGTGTCTAAGTTGGTGTTTAGTAACATACGCGGTCCACTCCAACTGATTTGAATTTCAGCAGACATTAACTGACTTTTCGCCCATTGCTCATGTTGTTCCCCTGGCGGCTTTGACAGCTAGGTCTGTTCTAGCGTGGCAGTTTTGATTGACTTATGCCGCCGAGTTGTTCTCAGCGTGGGATCGCATTATCCATCGTCCTAACTCGCCAATGTCCTGGATAAGGAATAAGGGGACTACGGGAAGGTTAGGTCTTTCCCTTCCAGTCGTCTCCCAGGTAGCCGTGGGATAGAACTTTCGACTGCAGAGCTGATCGAGGAGGGTTAAAATTCCAAAAGCCCAGTGACCACGTTAGTGGCACACACAGAAGACCTTTTACCGGTCGCTCCTAGGTAAGTCTTGCAGAGTGACTGGCATCAATCTCACGCATCGCTCT